CTACATCCAGGGCGGCCGCCCCTTCACCAAGAAGTTCCGCAGCGCCGGCCACGGCCGCGACAGCGACAAGCGGCTGCCCCTGGGGCTGGCTCCTGGGGGCCTGGCCTTGGTCGGCCGCAGTGCCGGGGGGGAACCGGGGCTCGAGGCTGGCCGGGCAGCCGACAGTGGTGAGCGGCCGCTAGCAGCCAGCCCGCCGGGCACCGTGAAGGCCGAGGAGCACCAGCGGCAGAACATTAACAGTGAGTGCTGGCAGAGGGGCGTTGGGGGGCTGCAGGCACCCGTGGGCCCACCCAGCCACCCACCGGGCCCTGCGCTGCGCGTCGCCCTTGGTCCCTTCTCCAGTTGCTCGCCCGTGCACCTGTCTGTCTGCCATCCTCCCGTCCCGGCGGTGTCCAGTCCCCAGCTGCCCTGCCTTACAAGTGGCGTCTGCTTCTCACCTGCCGAAGGCAGGAACGTCCCCAGGTCCTGGCCTTGCTGCTCATCTCCCGTCCCTCTCCCCACCTTAGAATTCGAGCGCCGACAAGCCCGCCCTCCGGACGCCTCCGCAGCCCGGGGCGGCGAGGAGGCCAACGGTCTGCAGCAGAAGCTGGAGGAGGTTCGGCAGCCCCCGCCCCGAGTCCGGCCGGTCCCCTCCCTAGTGCCCCGGCCCCCCCAGACGTCACTCGTCAAGTTTGTTGGCAACATCTATACCCTCAAATGCAGGTACACTGTCCCCAGGGGAGGGAGACTCTCTTGGGGTGCCCCAGAACAGTCTGGGTCCGGTGGAGGCTGGGAGACGTCACCTCAAAGGCTGCCCCTGGGTGTGGCGGGACCTGGGCTGAGGCCTCCTCGAAGACAGCGGCATCTCGGAGCATAGGGCTAACACCCTGAGCTTTGCGGCCCGCAAGCCCTGTGTTCAAATCCCAGCTCTGACACTTAGCATCTCAGTGACCTTGAGCAAGGGCTTCCTTACTCCATGCCTCAGTTTCCCCACCCATAAAATGGGATAGGTAACAGACCTACCTAATAGATTTGCGATGAGGACTGAGTGTAGTATGTGTAAAGCATTCAGAACTCAGCCTGGCACATGGTAAGCACTCGACGAGTATCTGGCTGATGGAGAAAACAATAGGCTTACCAAAGTCTATGAGTACATCCGAGACCGGGAAACTGGCAGCTGAGATGGGAGGTGACTTGCCGCAGGCCCTGTCAGAAGTAGGATTCAAGCCCTGGTCTCTGGGGCCAAGAGCTTGGGCCCGGGGCCCCTGCACTGTGAGGCCTCTTTTGGGGACAGGAGGAGGAGAGGGGCCTGGCGGGTTGGGCAGGGTCTGCCCCCTGTGCCCTCTGCCGTCTCAGATCACACGCGTCAGTCACCTGGCAGAGGTGCTCAGGCAGCTGGGTGGCCGTTACAAAGTGCCAGTGACCTCTTGGAGGCAAAAGGCTCTCCATGGGACCCCGCGGTGGGCGGAGGTGGCTGTCCATCTGGGAACCGTCTGGCTTCTGGCCCCCTCCCTCACACATCCCGGGCTCGCTCCGTCCGCGGTGTGCCAGGGCTGTGGGCAAGGCTGCGCTTGTGCCTCTGCTCGCAGCAGTGGCCACTCCCTCCCTCTCTCGCCCTCGCAGGTTCTGTGAAGTGGAATTCCAGGGCCCCCTCTCCGTCCAGGAGGAGTGGGTGCGGCACTTACAGCGGCACATCCTGGAGATGAATTTCTCCAAGGCAGACCCCCCGCCCGAGGAGCCCCAGGCCCCGCACGCACAGGCAGCAGCGGCCGAGGCTCCCTAACACAGAAGCATTCCAGATCCCCTCTTGTGCCACCTGTCTCTCCTCCTCGTTGTCCTCTTCCCTCTTCTCCCTCTTTCTTTTCCGTTTCCAAAGGAGCAAGCCAAAACCTCAAACCGGCACCCCTTGGGGGGCCGGGCACACTACAGCCGGGCGCCCTTCCCCCAGCCCGAGGACTCTGGGGCCACAGGGTGTCTTCCTTCAGCCCAAGCCCACCTGGCTCAGCGGGGGCAGCAGCCAGGTCTCTGGTGGCAGCTGATCTGGTCACAGGGGAGGTCGGCGCCCCTCCGTGAGTCTAGCAGCCAGGCAGGGCTATGTCTGCCATCCGTGGCCATTTGCAAAGACCCCAAAGACCCCTGTCTGGTTCCCTCTCGCCCCCATGAATACCCTCTCTCACGCATGTAGATGCGAACACACACGTGCACCTCGTGAGACACGGGATCTGCCCCAGCCCCCCAGTTCCCAAGTCGAACGACCACATCACGCCACGGTGCTTGCTCAGGGGAAGCCACGCTCCCTCTGTGGGGCCCGCCACGGCCTGGGAGCCCCCCACTGAGCCCACAATGCCACGGAAATCCTTGTTGGCCACCCCCAGAGGGGCCTTCCCTGCTAGGAAGAGCTCAGAGCTGACAGCTGCCTCCTGCCATGTCAGTGGCCCCCCCAAGAGCCTCAGGGGCTCCGGGGGCCCGGGAGGGTGGGGTGGGGGGTGGGACTCTCCTCCCCCACTCCTGTCTCCCTCCCCCTTTTCACTGTTGCTTTCTATGTATAGGTCCCTAGACCTCTCACTTTTTTAAAAGCGCGTTTTGTGTAGAGAATAAGGAACGTGGATCTTTTTATTTTGCAATCCTGGGCCAGCTAGAAACCGGGAGCCGATTTGACCTTTTAACTTTTTTCAGTGGCCACGTTTTGGTTATCAATGTAACTAGAAGTATGTAAATTAGATTAAATTTCTCTTCTGGAAACACCCCGGGGCAGGCGGCCAGCGTGTGTTTTTCTGTCGAGTGGACAGGCTGGCATTGGCTGGCAGCCGGGGCTGGGATCGGGGCCGCCTCTGTCCAGAGCCCTGGAGCTCCTGGGCTTTTCCCGTTGGCCGCCACGCCGACCAGACGCAGCTGGGGATGAGCCCAAGTTCCCAGCTGCTGGCCCTGGATGCTGTGGCTGTGGGGGACTCCGGCTGGCTGGTAAAGCAGAGAAACCGGGCCCCTGGGCTGCCGGCCTGGGAAGGGAGCCAGGACCGAGGAGCAGTGGAGCCTAGAAGAGCTTACTGAGGGCAGGAGTTGACCAGCGAGGGTGTCGGGGACCTGCCGGGGGAGGGACAAGCCAGCGAGGGTATAGACACCAGGGACTTGCCTGCCTTCAGCCTTCAGGACATGTGACTTCTGTTTAGACACATGCACCCCCGAACCCAAGTAACACGAGAAAAAAGAGGAGCCGCTGACTCCTTTGTGATGTTATTTATTTTCTCGCTCTGCAAATGTTTATTGAACATTTCTGAGATTTTAAGAGATTTTGTTGGCTGCTCCTTCTTGTTGATTGCATGTGGTTTTTCAGCTCTTTTCGTTTCCACTCAGTGGCCAAGTGCTGGAAAGTGGGAATGACCTCATGGGGCGTGGACAGCAGGGGCCTCCTCTACCCCCACCCCTGTTTCCTCGGGCCCCTCACTGTGGCCCTGCCTGGGAAGAAGGGGTTAACGGGCTGCAATCACACACCCACAAGGGTGGTCTTGGCCCACAAGCTTGGCTTTTCTGATCCCCTGGGGTCAACATCCTGGTGGCAGAAGGCTTCCCACTTCCATCCATCTGGAGCTGTGGGTGGGAACATCCAAGACTTAGGAAGTGGAGAAAGCAGCTAGCTTATGGGATGAGAACTGACCCAAAGGTGCTTCCTCTTTTTGTAAATCAGTTTTGAGAATATAAAAGTGAGCCAAGGATGGTGGCTCACGCCTATAATCCCAACACTTTGGGAGGTTGAGGTGGGAGGATCACTTGAGGTCAGGAGTTTGAGACCAGCCTGGACAATACAGCGAGACTCTGTCTCTACCAAAAAAAAAAAGTTTTAAAAAAAATAGCCAGGTGTAGTGGTGCGCACCCATAGCCCTAGCTACTTGAGCACGGCCCTTCTCTGCTTAAGCCATTCTGCTGTCTTGTCTCAGGCAACTCAGTTTCAGCCTTTGAGCAGCTCACTCTTGCCTGTGAGGGCATCGGATGTTCACAAAATCATCAATTAGTGAGATGATGGCTGTGGCAAGTACCACGAAGGAACCTACAGGACACAGGAGAGGCGTCCTGCAGCCCTGACTTAGTTTGGAGGACAGGACCCTATCCCTGAGGGTACGGGGAGATGAACCCCAAAGCCAGAATGCACAGCAATCTGAGATCTATGTGCTTCACATATGGAATTCCTCACTGAATGCATCATAAATGCCTTTGTTCCCTATGGCAGCAAGTTCTGCATAATCCCCATTTGGGGGAGAGTGTTATTATTAATAAAATATTTTTTCATGGGGAATTCCAACTATAGAATAGTTCAGCGGATAGTAAAATGAACTCTTGTTTATTCATCAATTACCAGCTCATGACCAATATCTTCAGCTCCCCAGTTGCAACTTCTCTTTCCTGTCTGAATTAAGTGAAGTGTGTCCCGGTCATCCAATCAATATCTTAATATTTCAGTATGTTTCTTTGAAGAATATGGACTTTAAAAAATGTGACTATTACACCTAAAGAAATTGACATCATTAATATCAAGAAGTCAGTGATAGAATACTTAAAAAAAAAACTTTAAAACACAAAAAAGGTACAAATCATAATTAAGTTTTCTCAAACACGCACACTAAGTACCATTTTCGGTATCTGTTGCTCTGTCAAGTTATGTTTTTGAAATTATGAGCTGCCCCTGACAGTAGTTTCCCCATATCCAGGGAGGGTGCTGAGGACAAGGCTGGGGCCAGGCTGTTCTATTGCATAATCTCTGAAGTCCAGAATGAACCAAGAGGGTTTTAGAAGCACAGTTCCAGTTTTCACGCACAAGTGTCAAAAACCTTGAGCAAATCATGGATTCCAAGCCTTAGTTTTCTTATCTTCTAAATAAGGATTAAAAAAAAAAAAAAGCTCACAGGTTTGGGGGAACATTTGAATAATTTTACACGATACAAACAGAATTATTACATACATAATATAAACATGCTGTGTAAATATACAAATATATTTATTATTGTTATGTTGCCATTAATAACAAAACAGCGTTTAGTGCACCTGGCACCAAACTGATTTCTTTACAGACGTTTTCTCGTGTCATGCCAGCATCTTGTTTGGCTCTTAGTTTTAATTTTCACATTCCGGGCATGGCTTAACCCCGTGCTCATTTTGGAGCTGAAGGCCAGAGAAGTTGAGAAAATAAGCCCAAGTGCGCACAGCACCTCGTCGGCAGCGCTGGGACCGAAGCCGTGCCCTGCGTGCGCCACAGACCCGGCTCCCTCTGGCGGGTCTCCAGGGCACATGCTCGCCTCCCGCTCGGCCGCGCTTGGGCCTCTGGCCTTGCCGTAGTGTACAGCTCCGCCTCTTCGAACTCCACCGGAGTCCGCTTGTCTGCCGGCTCCTGTTGGCCAATCACTGCGGGCTTAGGATAAACGGGAGGCGGGGACAAGGCGGGGCCCTCGCGAGATTGGCGGAAGCTTCAGCCACTCGCATGAGGTGACGCGGAGATAAGACAGTGAGTCGGTCCAATAGGCGTGAATCCTGAGGCGGGCGCAAGCCAATGCGGTCGGGAGGCGGGGCTCGGTGTGTGTATAGAAGTTGCCCAGAGGCTTATAGCCTCTGTCGCGGCGTCGGGTGCGCAGAGCTGCTACGCGCGTCCTCAGACGTGGCCTTCGCCACCGCCATGAGCTACACAGGTGGGTTCCGCGGGGTAGGGGTGGGGCTCCGGGTCGGGGGTGCGACAGGGGCTCGCAGGTGCCGCGCCGGGCTCGCCCGCACCTCCCCCGGGGCCCCGTCACCGCTCTCTCTGCGGTCACAAAATGGCGCCCGAGGCCGGCCGCCTCAGGGTCGCTCCGCCCGTGCCTCGGCGCCTCGGCGCTCCGTGCCGGCAGCCCGGCGTCCCGGCTCCCGGCCGCCCGGGCTCTCGGCTTCCGTCACCTGGGCCCGCGGGGCCCCTGGCCTCGGGGCCTGAGGACCCTGCTCCAGCCCACCTCCGTCCCTGGCCGGTGGGCGTCAGACCTCGACGCCTCGGCTCGTCCTTTCTCGGGCCGTGGCCCTTCCGGGCTGCCCGCGGCGGGCTCGGTCGCCGTCGCCGTCCCCCGCGCACCTGCTCTGCGAAACGCCGCGGCCGCCCCCGAGCCGGGAGAGGCGCCAGGCCCCGGGGGCGGGCGGGGGGGACACAAGTCAATATCTGGAAGGTGTTGGGGCCGAGCTTGAGCCTCGGCGAGCAGTGGCTAGCTCCCACGTCCACCGCCCAGCGTCCGTCGAATTTGCCCTGTCGGGTGCAGAACGGGCCCTGGGAATACTGACAGGGCTTCCCGGAGCGGTTCGCGGGCGAGCGCAGGTCACAGCAGACGTGTAGACGGTGTCCCCGAGGCTGGTCGGTGGGTGTCGCCGAGGCTGGTCGGTGGGTGTCCCCGAGGCTGGTCGGTGGGTGTCCCCGAGGCTGGTCGGTGGGTGCCCCCGAGGCTGGTCGGTGGGTGCCCCCGAGGCTGGTCGGTGGGTGCCCCGAGGCTGGTCGGTGGGTGTCCCCGAGGCTGGTCGGTGGGTGCCCCCGAGGCTGGTCGGTGGGTGCCCCCGAGGCTGGTCGGTGGGTGCCCCCGAGGAGGTAGCTCCATTGCAGGGAGTGGTTACAGACCTCTCTGCGGAAAAAGAGGTGACGTTTGAGCGGAGACTGAAAACGGAGCGAGGGCGTTAAAGGTATTTGGCCGGGGGAGCTGTTTTTGTAAAAAGCCCCCCCCCCCAGCCTCCGGGAGCAGGAGCTGCCTGGCTTGTTAGATGGGCCAGGGAAAAGCCGGTGGGATTTGAGCAAAAAAGGGAGAGAGAGTGGGTGATGAGAGCTGGGAGGACACCACCCCCGCCCGCCTGCCTCCACCGGGGATGTGCTGGGGGAGGAGAGGTTGTAAATCCTTGCTGGGTGAATTTGCCAAGGCCTCCTGGGTCTGTCTCGGCAGTGACCAATGAGGTTTCTCACCCAGGAGCTGCAGACGAGGCCCCCCCCTTTGGTGGGGGTATTACGGGTTTGAGCATGTGCGTTTGCTGGGTAACTTGCATTCTACTCGGAATGTTCGGGGTTGAGAATGGAACCTGAGCCTCAGGGACCTCCTCTGTGGGCTGCTTTAGGTCGGCCTAGGCAAGAAGGTAGTGCCCGTCCTCCCTGCTCTGGCTCCCAGGTCAGGAACTTGCCAAGAACCCCAGTTTTTCTAGCAATCATCTCCCATTCCAGTGGTTCTAAACCAAATCAGGGGTGGATTCTGCCCCCGGAGGACAGTTGGCAATGTATGGAGTCATTTCTGGTTGTCACATCTGGGGGTGGGGGTGCTGCTGGCAACTAGTGGATAGAAATCAGGGATGCTGCTCGGTATCCTACAGTGCATAGGATTCTTTATGGTGCCACAAAGGATGATGTGGCTCCAAACATCAGTAGTTCCAAGGCTGGGCAGCTCTGCCTGAACCTTTCTGTAGCTTTCCTAGTTCAGGAGAAAAGATACTAGGGTTGTTGTTGACATCTCTGGAATTGGGGTGTCATTCTCTTCACCATGTCTTTCCAAGAACTAGAAGGTAGTTTTAAGGTTTTTAGGGGCAGGAGTGCTGAAGAAACCAGAGGTGAATGGTTGGATGCTGTGGGGTAGCTTAATTAATGGAGCATTTGTCTCTATAGATGAGGAAACTGAGTTAGAGAGGTCAGTAATGGCCCAGGCTGAGTTTCAGCTCTAGGTCTTGTAGTCTGCAGTTCTGGGTTTGAGATAGCCAAGCTAATGAGATAATAGTTTTTTCCCTCCCTTCATCTTGAGACACTGAAAACACAGTAGCTTTATAATGGGAATCTTTACCTTTTAAGAAGCTGACCGCTAAAGTCAAAGGTATTTTAAGTCACATTTCAGACAACTATTAGCTTTAAGGATAAGGATAAGCCTTGAAGCAAATGTTACCATTATAATTAAACGTAAAAGGTGATTGATGTTATATATGTTTTTGTTAACTCATCTAACTTTTGAACCCAGATACTTTATTTCTACTTGGGAAAGGAAGCTCCTTCTCTAATATTGAGAGCGAAGATGGGAACAATGGAAAAACAGGACAAAAAATCCAAAATCAGACTTTCAAACAAAGGTCTAAAATGCCATCAGTCTTTTTGTAGAAATATTTATTACCTCAGTTTCTTTGTGTAAGAATGGGCACGTGGTTTAGCTGGGTGGTTTGGGCTTGGGATATCTCATGAGGGTACATTTAGGGTATCTGTCTAGAGTATAGTCATTTGAAGGCTTGACTGGGGCTGGAGGTCCCACCTCCAAGGTGACTTAAATGCCTGTGCTGGCAGATTGACCCAGACTGAATGATCCAAGAAAGAGCAAGTCTCGAAGTCACACTCAGTCATTTCTCCCATCCACATATTAACCAGGCCCTGCCCTGCTTAGCTTCCACGATCAACACTCAGTCATTTCTGTAAATCTTTTTTTTTTTCCTTTTCAAGTAGAGATGGAGGCAAGGGCAGTTCTTGCTCAGGCTGGTCTGGAATGCCTGACCTCAAGTGATCTCCCACCTCAGCCTCCCAGAGTGCTAGGATTACAGGTGTGAGCCACCGCACCCGGCTTGCATCCTATATTTAAATACGTTAATTCTGCACTGAGTGGGACAAAGAAAGACTGTAAATGTCCTGACAGGTCAGTTTGGCCCCAGAATGAGTTTTGGCACCACATTTGTGGAGAATGCTTGGTTTTCAGACCTTTGGGACCTGGCGGAATGGCAGGGTAAGAGATCTTGCCCAGTCCCTCTTACTGGCTGTCGTGAGGAAAGATCGTGCGGGGAGAAAAAAAGTCTCAGCCCCCTGCGGGGGAAGCACTTACTCAGTGTTGGCTGCTGCTGCTGTGATCGCAAGGGATAAAATAGAGAGTCTGTTAACAAATATGAGAATATCTACCCTGGGGAAGTCACTTGTGTGGGTTTTTGGTGTAAACAAGGTATTAGAGGCACAGGCTTTAATTTTCAGGTCATGAATTGGCTCTAATGCAAACAGCAAATATTATCTCTCATGGTATCTGTCATAATTTCAGTGTTAAGAGTAAATCATTTGGCCGGGCGTGGTGGCTCACGCCTGTAATCCTAGCACTCTGGGAGGCCAAGGCGGGCGGATTGTTCAAGGTCAGGAGTTCAAAACCAGCCTGAGTGAGACCCCGTCTCTACCATAAAAATAGAAAGAAATTAATTGGCCAACTAATATATATAATATAAAAATCAGCCGGGCATGGTGGCTCGTGCCTGTAGTCTCAGCTACTCGGGAGGCTGAGGCAGGAGGCTGAGGAGGATCGCTTGAGCCCAGGAGTTTGAGGTTGCTGTGAGCTAGGCTGACGCCACGGCACTCACTCTAGCCTAGGCAAGAAAGTGAGACTCTGTCTCAAAAAAAAAAAAAAAAGAGTAAATCATTTTAAAATGGTTTTTTTATACCACTATACAACCAAGGATAAAAATATGTATTTTATTTATTTATTTATTTTGAGACAGAGTCTCGCTTTGTTGCCCAGGCTAGAGTGAGTGCTGTGGCGTCAGCCTAGCTCACAGCATCCTCCAATCCCTGGGCTCAAGTGATCTGTCTGAGGATCAAGCCTCCTGAGTAGCTGGGACTACAGGCATGTGCCACCATGCCCGGCTGATTTTTCGATATATTTTTAGTTGTCCAGCCAATTTCTTTCTATTTTTAGTAGAAAGAGAGAGATGGGGTCTCACTCTTGCTTATGCTGGTCTTGAACTCCTGAGCTCAAATGATCCTCCCACCTTGGCCTCCCAGAGTGCTAGGATTACAGGCATGAGCCACTGTGCCCGGCCTATTTTTTTTTTTTTAAAAAGAGACAAGAGTCTCACTCTGTCCTTCAAGCCAGAGAGCAGTGGTGTGATTTATAGTTCACTGCAGCCTCCAACTCCTGGGTTCAAGTCATCCTCTTGTCTTAGCCTTTGGAGTGGCTGGGACTACAGGCACATACCACTAAGCCTGACTACGTTTTTTTGTTTGTTTGTTTTATAGAGATGGGGTCTTGATAAGTTGCCCGGGCTGGTCTTGAACTCCTGATCTCAAGTGATCCTCCTGCCAAAGTGCTAGGATTACAGGCATGAGCCATAGCACCGGGCTATATATACTTTTATAATGGGCAAACTAAAATATAAAGCAGTTTCTATAATATTTCAGATTTGGGGCCGGGAGAGATGGGGTATTTACTTTAACATCATTTCAAAGCTAACCACCATCCTTGTTTCGAGCCTTTTAGTGATTTGATAAGCATTTTCCTCATTTAACTGATAATTTGAGTACTCATTTATCAAAATGGGTTACTGGCTTAAATGTTTAAAACCTTTTGTCCAGTCCTCCTGGTATAGCATGTTAAACATAGCCTGCCCTTCCATTGGTTAGTATGTTTTGGAGGTCTAATTAAAGTGTGGAAGCTAGAGGTCTTGGTGGCTCTCCATGGACGGGAGGGCCTGCCAGCAAGTCTGTACTGAAACGTACTCTAGGTCATTTTCCTGTTGCTTGTTTGCGGTAGTTAACCACACTCTGTGTACGTTTAGGCTTTGTCCAGGGATCTGAAACCACTTTGCAGTCAACGTACTCAGACACCAGCGCTCAGCCTACCTGTGATTATGGTAAGTGTGGGCCCTGGCGGGAGCTGGAGTATTCTCCAGAGCAGTCCCTTGTCTTCTTAGCTGCCTTTGGCTTTGCTGTCACCTGTCTTGCCTTCTAAACCTAGACTTGTATAAAACGATGCGTGTGGGATGGTGTGCTATCTGAATAGTCAGTGCTTCCCTCTGGGGCAGTCATGAAAAAGGCATCTGTGTTACTGAGCAAGTTAGACTGTAAACAGTTGCTTCCTTTGACGCTTTAACATTTATAGAAGTACCTGTGGTCTTTGATAAAAGATCTGGCTTCAGAAAATCCCCTTGAGGGACCAGGAAGGACAGTGGCTAAAGTCCCAAGGATTGGTCCAGGAAAAACCGAGCTATTAGCTGCCAGCCCCGGTGTAGCACAAGTTCCGCTATGGAAGGGAAGTTAAGTGTGTGAATCTAGCAGGCTTTTAGAAATCTAGTCAGGCTACGGCAAGCCAGCAGGCTGCATATACAGGGTTGAGTGAAAATCTCCGATTGGTTACTCAAGTGTGGACACAGACGCTTAACTCCTTTAATTCAGAAGAAGCCACCAATAGGATTCACAGATGCTGTTTTGTTGGTGTGCTGTGGCAGCCCGGAACTGCCAGTAGAGCTGATCTTTTGGGCGTCTGTGACCTTAAGGGCGTCTGTTGAGAAGGAGCCCTCTTTGGAATTAATAACAGTAATATCTAGGTTATTAATATGGGTAATTTGTTTTATTACCAAGATCTGGGGAAGGACCAAGCCTGCACAGCTGACATTCAGGAATCACTGAATAAATGGACTTAAGAAAACTTCCCAAAGATTAGCAGCTAGTTTCAGGGGGAGGGGGAGACTTAAAATGTTTCAAAAATTGGGTAAGGATATGTCTGGCATTTCCTAAGTAAGGAGAAGCTTGGTTTGCTTGGCTTCAATATCCTGCCCTCCCTCCCCCTCCTCTCCCCCTCCTTTTTTCCTCTACCTCTCCTCCTCCTCCTCCTCCTCCTCCCTGCCCCTCTCCTCCTCCTCTCCCTCTCCTCCCGTCTCCCCTCCCCACAGTCTCACTCTGTTGCCAGGGCTAGAGTGCCATGGTGTCAGCCTAGCTCATGGCAACCTCCAACTCCTGGGCTCAAGTGATCCTCCTGCCTCAGTCTCCTGAGTAGCTGGGACTACAGGAATGTGCCACTATGCCTGGCTAATTTTTTTCTGTATATTTTTAGTTGGCCAATTAATTTCTTTCTATTTTTGTTTTTTAATAGAAATGGGGTCTCATTCTTTTTTTTTTTTTTTTGAGACAGAGTCTCGCTTTGTTGCCCAGGCTAGAGTGAGTGCCATGGCGTCAGCCTAGCTCACAGCAACCTCAAACTCCTGGCTCAAGCAATCCTCGCTGCCAGCGCCCTCAGCCTCCCAAAGCTGGGACTTACAGGCATTTGCCACCATGCCCGGCTAATTTTTTGTATATATATTTAGTTGGCCAATTAATTTCTTTCTATTTATAGTAGAGACGGGGTCTTGCTCTTGCTCAGGCTGGTTCGAACCTCCTGACCCCGAGCAATCCGCCCACCTCGGCCTCCCAGAGAGCTAGGATTACAGGCGTGAGCTACCCTGCCCAGCTTTTTTTTTTTCTGGAGACAGTCTCACTCTGTTGCCTGGGCTAGAGTGCCATGGCATCAGCCTAGCTCACAGCAACCTCAAACTCCTGGGCTCAATCAATCCTGCCTCAGCCTCCTGAGTAGCTGGGACTACAGGCATGCACCACCATGCCCGGCTAATTTTTTCTATATATTTTTAGTTGGCCAATTAATTTCTTTCTATTTTTAGTAGAGATGAGGTCTCGCTCTTGCTCAGGCTGGTCTCAAACTCCTGAGCTCAAATGATCCGCCCACCTTGGCCTCCCAGAGAGCTAGGATTACAGGCATGAGACACCACGCCCGGCCTCGATGTGTATTTTGACCTGGTAACATTTGAAATTTGATTTGTAGATTGACCTTGTAAGAAACCATGCCAGGCTTGCTTATTCTACTAGCTCTTTTGTAGATTTGAGGTTTTTTAGTAGACAGTTGTGAAAGAATAGGAATAGTTTATTTTTACTCTGGCTTAAATTACAGGAACAATATAACAACATTTAAATAACATTTTGAAAACCAGTCAGCCAAGATTCTGCCATTTTAATATTTAATCTTTGTCAGCTTAGCTATTTTATATAGTTTAATAATTTGCAGGTGGTTAGAACTATGTATCCTGTGTTCTTTTGTTATGTTAGAAGCATTTCCCTGTGTTTCATAAGGCATAATAAATGCTTTGTGGTGCCTACACAATATCTTGCTGATATGAATAGGTAGGCTATAATATGATTAACCAGTACCTCAAAGCTGAACATTTAATGTGTTTTCTATTTTTGCTCTATAGGTATCGCTTACTGTGCCCATTTCCTTTTTTCTTTCTTTCTTTAAAGATCCTTAAAATTCCCCTTTGAACCATGATCACATCATCCCATCTGGAGTCTGGAAGTGAGTTGGGATGTTCTTTCAGAAGGAGCAGGTCTCTGCGAGTCCCCAAACACCAGTCTAGACAGAGGCTTCCTCCTGAAGGGACCTGACTAGGGAGTTCATAAGGAAATCTGGTTGCTCCGGGCTTAGCAAGTAGCACAGAGTGTTGCTTAGCAAGTAGCATAGAGAGTGTTGCCTGTAGGGACTCGTGACAGCTTGCCAGTCATGAGAGGCCACCTGCCTATCCTGGAGACCTAAAGTGGTGCTGCCAGAGTTGATGCCCACTTCTGCTTTCCTTGTGCCTCCTCACTCCCTCCGCAGAGCCTCGGCAGCTGAACCTGGGATGACCACACTATAGCCTAGTAAGCAGAGCCCCAATGGGTCTGCCTGTGCCTCCCATCTCGTCCGCTTCTGAATAGCTGGTGTCCACTGTCGCTGGTGCAAACAGCCAGGTGGACAGCGCTGCCGGGGGGCCAACTGTGCATTGTTCTTCGTGTGGCCCTGTCAGCCTCTCCTCTCGCTTGTCAGCATAGCTCCTTTAGCCACTCTCTGCTCGGGTGGCTTTCAGCTCCTGGCTGTCCCGTGTTGCTCCCCGGTTATTAGCTTCTGCTTTAACAACAAACAGTATTCCATGCCCTAGCCATGTCCGGTACTGCAGGCGCCCGGTACTGCAGGCTCTCGCTCCAGGTGCTCCGAGGATAATAGTTATTGCAAAAGCAAACGGCTGAGAAGCCTCTTGTTTTTTCTCTGGGCCAAGAGGATTCTTGCCCTGTGAGTTCTTGCATGCCTCTGGTTCATTAAACATAGTGGTCACCTGCAGTCCCTCAGCTGATTTCCATCGGCCTCCCATGCTCTCTGCGCTGGGCGTGGAGGAGCCTGAGTGCGGGACCACAGGCCGCCCATTCTCTCTGCTTCATCTTTGTCTCCTCGGGCATGTTCTGTTGTGGTCTGGATCTTCGCTGCCATCTCAGTGAGCGCTAGTCCCCTTCCCTGAGATGAGCAGGTCCTGTCTGCAGGACAGAGATGACATGGAATAGGAAGCGACTGTGGGGTCTCACCAGAGACACTGGGAAGGCGGTCGCCTGTTCTCACGCACTCCTTTGGGAAGGAGCCGTGTCTGGTTGGCTCCGAGCTCCCACATGGCTTTGCACTTTGTTGGTTCTCAGTGGCTGTGTTCCTGAAGGAATGAATCACCATGTGTTGCGACCAGATCCAGGGCTTATTTAGTTTTTAATCCGGATTGTTTGCTCAACAGCTTTTCTTGTCCTAGGCGTTGCTTCTTGTCCTGTCCTCCCTGGTGTGTCCAGCACAGCACACTCCGCAGTTCAGAGGCTTGTTGGCCCTTCTTGTTAAAGTAGACATTTGGGGTCTGGGTGGTCAGTTTCCCTGCTCCAGGTGGCTTTGTTGGGTAACTTGACGTGATTTCAGAATGAATTTGGACTCTGCCAGGTATCTTGTACAGGAGAATCTACATGAGGAGCTGTAAACCGATTAGTGCTTAGCCTGGGGAGGGGATGTCATCTTCTAGTTCTAGCTCTTTAAGGGAAGAGTATGGGAGCCACGTGTGTTAGTTGAGAGCACTGGGAACAGGAGGCTCCTTAATAACATGCTCAAAGCCACACAAGGCCAAGCACCGGGGCAGCCAGTGGCCTGGGTGGTTTGCATTGTGCCCTCTCTCAAGCTCAAGGCTTCTCAGTTAGGGAGCTGTAGGCTGATGTGATCGGTCAGATGCTGGGAATAATTATATTCACTTGTGCCTGAATTAAGCTCTTGTTGTAGTGAAAGCAATTGTAGAGGTAATTGCCCTTTTACTTTTTGTAGGCTATGGAACTTGGAACTCTGGGACAAACAGAGGCAAGTATCATTGCTCTGCTTGCTCTGCTCTCCCTTGGGTTGTACTGATTATGTTTCTCTGCCACTGCCCAGCTTGGCTAGGGTTGGGGGTGGGGAGCTTTGGGTGTCCCTGGGGCCAGCTGCTCCTTCACAGGAGACCCTTATCAGAATGGCTAGGGCCCACCCACCCTCAGGTGGCTAGGGTTCCCAGCTCGTCTCTGTGACAGAGAAGATGGCTTGTTTCTGTGTCTGTCTCTTCATCTCTGCCTGCCCCCTCCCGGCCCCTGCCATCTGTCTGTCTCTCTGTCTCCCTCACTGCAGGCTACGAAGGCTATGGCTACGGCTATGGCTATGGCCAGGAAAACACCACCAACTATGGGTATGGTATGGCCTCTTCACACTCTTGGGAAATGCCTAGCTCTGACACAAATGCAAATCCTAGTGCCTCGGGTGGTGCCAGTGCCGATTCCGTTTTATCCAGAATTAACCAGCGCTTAGATATGGTGCCGCACCTGGAGACAGACATGATACAAGGAGGCGTGTACGGCTCGGGAGGAGAAAGGTGAGTGGGCGCCTGTCTAAAGGCGCAGCTCTGCATGGGCGGCTCCCGCCTTTCCTAACGCGCCTTAGCGTCTGCCTTTTCCCTCCTCGCTTGGTCCTGCTGGGGCTCCTGAGGTGGAGCCATCGCACTTCCGTTCTCTGACCTGTCTCCTCTCGCCCTCCCCCAACCCCTGCCCTGCTGCTTGGTGGCACCTCTCCCCGGCTTGCAGGCGAGGAGCAAGCCCGGATTGGGCTGACGTCACTGTATCCTCAGGATGCCTCCTCGAGAACAGAGTGCTTAGTGGCCCCTCTCTCCTGGAAATGCATTTGGAGTTCTCTCAAGACTTTGCTTCCTGCTTGGGGTCAGAGCAGGACAGATTGGGTTTGGAGTACAGGGTGGGACCAGCCTTTGGGGCTGATCACCCTGAGCTGGGCCATCCCCACATGAGGAACAGGGCAGATGTGGACACTTGCTGGCCACTCCTGTGCCTTACAAACGTGAACCTGTTGGAGGCACCCCCGTGAGGACCTGCTGCTGCCCTTGCTTTACAGATGGGGAAACTGAAGTGCAGGCAGGTCACATCCAGCAAGGGGTAGGGCTGGGCCTTGCGCCCAGATCTGCCCTGCTCCAAAGCATCACACTGTGTGTGCTTGCCATTAACTGAACTGGCATTGGCCCTGGCGAGAGGCTTCAATGAGGAGGGCATACATATCTCTAGCATGAGATGGGGTAGAGCTCTGGTCAACACATGATGGAGACCAGAGAGTAGGGAGGGGCCTGGCTGGGCACTGGTGGAGCCAAGTGAGGCCCCAGGGCTGCACTGAGTGAGAGGCCGGGGCACAAGGGGACTTGCTGGCATGGGCTCTATGCCCCTGGACCCACAGCTGCAGCGCTTGGAGCCGAAGGCTTAGTGTGAAGGGCTTGGGCAACCTCTCATCAAGCCTAGAGCCAGAGTCAGAGGCGAGGGAGCAGTGGCAGCACCGGCTGCTGCTCTCACAGCTGGTGAGCCTCCCGTGGTCCAGGTCTGGGGAACAGGGTGCAGGGAGGGACCCTTTGTCCCTGTGAGGCGTGTGGGGCCGGGGCGGGGTGTGCGAGCTGCAGCACAGTGAAAACGGCCCTCTGCAGTGCCCTCTCCCGGGTGGGAGGGCGGGCCTGCCTTCCCAGTGGCTGTGTAAGGTTTGATGTCCAGCCCTGGGCTCCGGAGGAGATGCGATACAGCTCTTCTTCTGGTTCCTGAGCTAGCTCTCAGGGTCTTTCCTGGGGAACATTCCCCCTTTGGTCTCCTTTTTGGAGGGTTTGGGTTCCTCCAGCCATGAGGAATGAGACCAACACAGCGTTTCTCATGGGCATTATCAGCTTCACTGGCTAAACATTCACTGTGCTGGACTGCCCGCATCCTGCATGGTGTGGGGGTGCTGGGCCCTGCCCCCCAAGGAGCAGCCTTGCACGTTGTGGCTACCATGGTTGGTGCATGTTTTCCAAGGGCCATGGTGGGGGTGGCTCTGCCCTTCATTTGACTCACTGAACTAGAGCGGTTGTCACTCTTTCTTGGGGTTCCCAAGCTGGTTCGTGGTGATATTCAAGCTTGGGCCACTGGGGCCCTATGCGGACATCATCTGAGGGGGGCCCTTCCTGCTTCTAGAGCTCTCTGCTCCTGAGAGGCCAGAACCTTTGACCTGGCGTCTCTGAAAGGGCAGGGTGGGTGCTGGGGCTGGGCTTCTTGCCCTGGGCGTGGAGGTTGTGGAGGGGTAGGAGCAGACGCCAGAGGGGGCCCCACCTGATGCTTCCTCATGCCTCTGCAGATATGACTCCTACGAGGCCTGTGACTCGAGGGCTGTCCTGAGTGAGCGCGACCTGTACCGGTCAGGCTATGACTATGGCGAGCTTGACCCTGAGATGGAAATGGCCTATGAGGGCCAGTACGATGCCTACCGTGACCAGTTCCGCATGCGTGGCGGCGACACCTTCGGTCCGAGGGCTCAGGGCTGGGCCCGGGATGCCCGGAGCGGCCGGCCGATGGCCTCGGGCTACGGGCGCATGTGGGAAGACCCCATGGGGGCCCGGGGCCAGTGCATGTCTGGTGCCTCCCGGCTGCCCTCCCTCTTCTCCCAGAACATCATCCCCGAGTACGGCATGTTCCAGGGCATGCGAGGCGGGACCGCCTTCCCGGGCGGCTCGCGCTTTGGCTTCGGGTTTGGCAATGGCATGAAGCAGATGAGGCGGACCTGGAAGACCTGGACCACAGCCGACTTCCGGGTGAGTGGAGGTGGTCTTCCTCTGCTGGCCCCTGACTGGAGTGGAGCGAAGGGCCAGGAGTCCCCCATCCTGACCCAGCCCCCTCTTTCTGACCCAGACCAAGAAGAAGAAGAGGAAGCAGAGTGGCAGTCCTGACGAGCCGGACAGCAAAGCCACCCGGACGGACTGCTCAGACAACAGCGATTCAGACAATGGTGAGGCAGGTGGCACTGGGATGCCGCCCTGTTTCCCTGTGAGGCTCCTGGGCTGAGCTTGCCGCCTCTCCCCTTGCAGATGAGGGCACCGAGGGCGAAGCCGCAGAGGGCACTGAAGGCGCCGAGGCTGTGGAGAAGGGCTGCAGAGCAGTAAGTGGCCCCTGGCCCTGGGACTTCCTCTCTGCAGGGGGAGCCTGTGGAAACCGAGCTGGACTGAAGAGCAGTGCTCTCCATGGGCCGCGGCACTGTGGTAGTACGGTGCGCGCAGTTTGGTAGGAAGCATGGGCTGCTAGCCCGGGGCACAGGAAAATGGAGGGCTAGGCCCTCTGTGCTGGGTGGCAAGAGGATATAAGATTCCTGGCACATGGCTGGGCCTTGTCATTTAGAGCCATTATAAATAATTGTACATGTTTTAAAATTGGATTTTGAAATTGTGTGTTAGGAAGAGGACGAAGAGGGAAGAGAGGACGGGAGAGAAGAAGGCAGAGAGGACCCAGAGAAGGGTGAGTCTTCCGGGGGTCTGAGTGCGGGGATGGCTCTGCCAGCTGCTTGCAGCAGGAGGGATCTGGCTGAGGGCAGGGTTGTGGCAGATAGGTGCCCGGCTGGGGGCCTCCCTTGTGGGGCCAGGTACGTGCTGGCAGGGGGCTGAGTGGTCAGGGCCCCTCTGGGAACAGACGGGCACAGTCACCAGCTTGGCTGTGCACAGACCCTGCTTCCCACCCCTGCCCTCGGTGCCTCAGTAACGTACACTTCCGAGTCCTCAGTGGCTGGTGTCCAAGCTGGGACCCTTGGTGCAGTTTTTACGGCTCTGGTTTGCGTGTCCTCTCCCTTAGCGCCTCTCCAGCCCCTGTTGGGAGTCCGTGTCCCCCCACCTGAGTGATGAGCGCCAGCAGGTACCTAATAGTAAATCGATCCTCAGCCTACTGTTGCCGCGTTTCCTGGTGGGGGGTGGGCAGGGCCATGTGAGCGGCCTCCCTGCATCCCACCATCCAACCCTGATAAGCATATGCCAGTGTCCCCACCAAGATAGCCTCTTTTTGCTTTCCAGCCGCCTCCTGGCCCACAGTGCAGAGAGCGTGGGTGTTCTGGAGAGCAAAGGGGTCAACACCTGGCCCTCCCTCCTCAGGGACTGGGCCAAACCCACTCCCTGCCCAGCCCAGGGTACCCAACCCTGCTTGTGGCCAGAGGCCTCGCTTGGACAGCTGCTCTCAGATGGACCCTCTGGAGCGGATGGCGGGTGATTCGGCCAGAGGCCACAGGGCCTGCCCTGTCCTGGCATAGCCAAGCTGGTGACTGTGCCCGTCTGTTCCCACAGGGGCCCTGACCACCCAGGATGAGAACGGCCAGGCCAAGCGCAAGTTGCAGGCAGGCAAGAAGAGCCAGGATAAGCAGAAAAAGCGGCAGCGAGACCGAATGGTGGAAAGGTAACGAGCTTCCCTCCACCCCTCTGCCTCTGCCTCGCTCTGGGGCTGCCGCCAGGAGAGCAGGGCCATAGCTCTGCCATCTCGCCGCCCTGCTCGGCCGTGCATGGACCCTGCTTCCCGCCAGGCCCAGCTCCCAAGGCCTGACTCGTCCCCTGCCCCTCTGTGGCCGCCTGGCGACCGCTGGCATCTGTGGCCTGAGACCCGACACAGCTCGGCACCGTTGCTCAGAAGCTCCGGCGCTAGGTCACTCAGCGCACGAGTCCCGAGGTGCACAGGGGGCCGATGCCCCTGAGGGAGGGGGCCAGCTCATCAGAGACTCAAGGTCCAAGGCGCCTGTGCTGCCCCAGCTAGCTGCCAAGAGGCCGCCGCCGTGCCCAGGAGAGATGGCAGCACCTGTGGGCTGTGGCAGCCTCGGGCCTGCCCTCTGCCTTGCCCGCCGGCCCTGTCAGGCCGGGCCTATCTGCGGCTGAGTCCTTCACGCCCCTTGGTCGGGTCTGTCTGCCCTCAGGGCTCCCGCACTGGCGCTTGCCTCCTCCTCCTCCGCCTCAGACTCTTGCTCTTGCTGGACCTTCCTCAGCCTCGCCGGCGCCCGGCCCCTGGGCTCTCCAGACAAAGCTGACCCCGTGGCCCAGATAAGGACGTCCGGCAGAGGTAGGGACCTGCCCCGAGGCGTCGGTGGCGGCTGGCCTCCTCCGCCCCTTGCCACGGCGGCCTGCTCCAGCCCAGGCCCCAGACCCCGGGCTTCTGCTGTGGACACCAGGCCCAGACAGAGCACCTCGCCCAGGTGACTCCAGGCTGCCCTCTGGCAGGCCAAGGCGGGCGCCCTCCTTCCAGCTCAGACTGGTCTCTTCTTGGAAGAGGAAGACGAGGCAGCAGGTGCCCAGGCCTGCTCGCCTCCCATCCCTCCCGACACCACCCCCAAGCATTCTGAGCAGAGGATGGGCTGGGCCTTTGAGTCCCCCAGACCCCAGAAGGAAGATGCAGCACCTTTTCGGGCCCTGCCTCGGGACTGCGTACTCCACTCTGCACCTCAGGGCCACCTGGCTCACGCCAGGGCATCCTTCCTTCCGGTCCCCAGCTGGGCCAAGTGCACAAGCTCCTGCCCAGCCTTGGTAGAGAGGCCCTCCTCCGGCAACTTTCCAGCGACTCCTTGCCTGTTGCAGCAGCAGCTGCCTCAGGCTTCAGCCTCCTGCTTGTGGGAAGGAAGAGCTCCTCCCCTGGCCCCTACGTTGCAGAAACTGCAGCCTGCAGACTTTCTGTCCCTTTCTACTCCCGACCCCACTGGTCCCAGCCTGTGTCCCTCTGCTGGGACTGTACTTCAGAGGCCCATGAGCAAGGCCTGTTTGAGGGCTTGCATCTGGGTTGGGTGAGGCAGCAGCACTGTCCCCCTCGACCCTCGCAGCCTTAGCCCTTTGTTTCTTTCCTGTGGCAGGATCCAGTTTGTGTGTTCTCTCTGCAAATACCGGACCTTCTACGAGGACGAGATGGCCAGCCACCTTGACAGCAAGTTCCACAAGGAGCACTTTAAGTATGTAGGCACCAAGCTCCCTAAGCAGACAGCCGACTTTCTGCAGGTAAGCCTTGGAGCAGCACAGCTGCTCTTAGCTTTTCAGGTCCCTCAGGACATAGGGCAGCCCACATGAACCTCGATATCTTTGGCAGGAGTATGTCACCAATAAGACTAAGAAGACTGAGGAGCTCCGAAAAACTGTAGAGGACCTTGATGGTCTGATCCAGCAGATCTACAGAGACCAGGATCTGACCCAAGGTGAGGAGGTTCCATCCCACTCCCTCCAGGGCAGGGTCTCAGCCTGCCCTTGTCTGGTTCTCAGTGTGGGATCACCACACCCTCTGTTCCCCAGGGAATGTCAGTGAGAATAGCCTCGGGCCCATGTGGAAGTGGCAGGGCCAGTTGAGAAGCTAGTGTAGTTCTTTTCCCAAACTCCTGGGTCTGTCTTAGGTACCAGGAACCAGTAGCAACTCCCTTCTTGTCTTCCCTACAGAAATTGCCATGGAGCATTTTGTGAAGAAGGTAGAGGCAGCCCACTGTGCAGCCTGTGACCTCTTCATCCCCATGCAGTTTGGCATCATCCAGAAACACCTCAAGACCATGGATCACAACCGGAACCGCAGGGTGAGTGGCCACAGGTGCCCTCCCTCGATCCTGTGGGTGGACTGAGTTATGCCTCTCGGGAGGCCCTGTGATCACAGCCTCTGCCCGCCCGTGAGGAGCTGCAGTAGAGGCGGGGCAGGTAGACGTGAACATTTCCAGCCCAGTGCAGTCAGCACAGCTGTAGAGACAAGGGTGGGAGATAGGGACTCTGCCTGGGAGAAGGTGACATCAGAGCTGGACCTTAAGGAGCAACACACTATGGGATATGAGGATCTCCACGTGCATAGGGGCCAACTACCAGAATGGGTTCAGAAACCAAACAGAAGTGCAGGTGTTGGAGGAGAGGGTTTGACTTTGGGGTTCATGAGGGTTGCACTGAGGGGTCTGGGCTCGCTCCCGTAGGCAGCGAAGAGTTAGTCCTGGGGGACTAACAGGATTAGAGTTGGCATTGAACTGGAGACTTCAGTTCTCAGTGCAGTGATTCTCAACAGTGGGACAGGGTTGGTGGTCACAGAAACTCAAGATTTGGAAATGCCTCCAAGAGGCCTAGAAAGATAAGGAAAGTGTCTATTGGCTTTGGTAGCAGAGAAGCTTCAGATTCTTGGGTTGGGACCTCACAGCTGTAGGGAGAGAGAAGATTGCAGGGGACAGAAAATGTACATGGCATTAAAACCTCTGGGAGGCCAGGCGCAGTGGCTCACGCCTGTAATCCTCGAACTCGGGGAGGCTGAGGAGGGCGGATTGCTAGAAGTCAGGAGTTCGAAACCAGCCTGAGCAAGAGTGAGACCCTGGCTCTACTATAAAGAAATTAATTGGCCGACAAATATATATAGAAAAAATTAGCCGGGCATGGTGGCGCATGCCTGTTGTCCCAGCTACTCGGGAGGCTGAGGCAGTAGGATTGCTTGAGCCCAAGAGTTGAGGTTGCTGTGAGAGAGGCTGACGCCACAGCACTCACTCTAGCATGGGCAACAAAGTGAGACCCTGTCTCAAAAAAAAAAAAAACTTCTGGGAAATTCAGGGGAAATGAGTGATAAGGCTGGGCGCAGTGGCTCATGCCTATAATCTTAGCACTCTGGGAGGCCAAGGCAGGTGGAGTGTTTGAGCTCAGGAGTTTGAGACCAGCCTGAACAAGAGCGAGACCCCGTCTCTACTAAAAATAGAAAGAAATTAGCTGGACAACTAAAAATATACATAGAAAAACTTAGCTCCCAGCTACTCTGGAGGCTGAGGCAGGAGGATCGCTTGAGCCCAGGAGTTGGAGGTTGCTGTGAGCTAGGCTGACACCACGGCACTCAAGCCCGGGCAACAGAGTGAGACTCTGTCTCCAAAAAAAAAAGAGTGATAGCAAAATATAAACTCAAAATTGATCCTAAAATAAGTAAAAAAAGAAAAAGCCATAACAACTTGTAAAAACCATAGAGGGGTTTTGAAGGGTGATGAAAGATACTTAGAAGGCACCACAAGTAGTTGGTTTATAGAGATTATTTTAATAAAATTTGAGTACTATACTTTTTGGGTTTTTTTTTTTTGTTTGTTTGTTTTGAGATGAGTCTTGCTATTGTGCCTAGGCTGGGCTCGAACTCAGTTTTCCCACTAAACCCTCCTGAGTAGCTGGGATTGCAGGTGCAGGCCACTGCACCCAGCTAATGATTATTGCTTTTGGCAACAGCTTAACTGAACTGTAATTCACACACTTGCGATTCACTCATCATGGGTGTGCAGTTCAGTAGTTTTTAGTGTTTTCAGAGGTCTGCAGCCATCTCCACAATCAGTTGTAGCACATTTTCATCACCTCAAAAAGAATGCGTATCATTTAGCTCTCACCACCCCACCAGTCTTTCCCCCAGCCTCAGGCAACTACTGAATCTGTCTCTGTATGTTTGCTTATTATGGACATTTCATATAAATGGGAATCACATAGTAAATGGAATAAATGTGTGGTCTTCTGTGATTGGCTTCTTTCACTGAGCATGATGTGTTCAAGGTTCATCCACATTGTAGCATGTGTCAGAACTTCATTCCTTCGTGTGGCCTTTTATTCCATTGTATAGATATACCACCTTTTGTTCATCTGTTTTAGCATTTGGGTTGTTTTCTACTTTGGCTATTTTGAATGATGCTCTTAGGCACATATGTGTGCAGTTTTTAACTTCTTGAGGTGTTGCCAGACTGTTTTTGAAAGTGGCTGCACCATTTTACATTTCTGCCAGCAATGTATGAGTGTTCTAATTTGCCCACAACTTTGTCAACACTTGTTATTGTCTGACTTTGATCTAGTCATCCTAGAAGGTAGGAAGTGGTGTATCATTGTGGTTTTCATTTGCATGTCCCTGGTGACCGACTAATGGCATCTTTTCATGAGCTTCTTTTTGCCATCTGTATATCTTTGGAGAAATGTCTATTCAAGTTCTTTGCCTATTTTTAAATTGTGTTGTATTTTTCAGTTGCTAGAGTTCTTTACATATTCTATTAATAGGTACAAGTCCCTTATTTGATATGATTTGCAAATGTTTCCTCCCATTCCGTGGGTTTTCACCTTCTTAATGTATCCTTTGCTGCATAATAGTTTAATTTTGATTAAATCCAATTTAATCTGTTTTTCCTTTATTGCTTATACTTTGGGTGTCATAACCAAGAATCCATTGATTCTTGGTCACAAGATTTACCCCATGTTTTCTTCTAAGAGTTTTATGGTTTTAGGTTTTGATGTTAGGTCTTTTTTTTTTTTTTCCTTTGACTCTGTTGCCTGGGCTAGAGTGCTATGGTGTCAGCCTAGCTCACAGCAACCTCAAATTCCTGGTCTCAAGCAATCCTCCTGCCTCAGCCTCCCAGGCGTGCACCACCATGGCTGACTAATTTTTTCTATTTTTAGCAGAGATGGGGTCTCACTCTTGCTCAGGCTGCTCTTGAACTCCTCACCTCAAGTGATCCTCCCATCTTGGGAGATTACAGGTGTGAGCTACCACACCCAGCCTACAGTGAGGTCTTTGTTCAATTTGAGTTAATCTTTTTTTATGCTGTGAGATAAGGATCTAACTGCATTCTTTTGCATGTGGAAATTCAGTTGTCCAAGCACCATTTGAGAGGGGAAGGAAAAGGACTATTTATCCCCGATTGAATGATCTTGGCACCCTTGTTGAAAATCAGTTGACTATAGCTATAGGGATTTATTTCTGGACTCTGAATTCTGTTCAGTTCTATATATCTATCTTTATATCTATCCTTATGCCAGGTGCTATTGTAGCTTTGTAATAAGATTTGAAATCAGGAAGTGCAAGTCCTTCAACTTTGTTTCTCTTTTTCAAGATTGTTTTGGTTATTCTGTGTCTCTTGAGTTTCCCTGTGAGTTTTAGGATCAACCTGTCAGTTTCTCTAAAGAAGCCAGCTGGTATTCTGATAGGATTGTGGTCAATGTCTAGATCAGTAAGTATTTTATTCTTGTTGATATTATTATACATGGAATTTTCTTAATATTTTTGGATTGTCCTTTGCATGTGTATAAAAATAGTATTTTTTTTTTAATTTTGTAGACAGGATCTTGCTATGTTGCCTAGGCTGGCCTCAAACTCCTGGCCTCAAGTGATCCTTCCACCTTGGCCTCCCAAAGTGCTGAGATTATAAGTGTGAGCTACTGTGCCCAGCCTAAAAATACTATTCTTTTTGTATATTGATACTATGTCCTATAACTTTACTCTGAACCATTAGTTTTTAATGATTTTAATAATATTTAAACTAATGTTTATTCTGTTTTTTAGTGGATTTCTTAGGATTCTCTATATATAGTATCAGTCATCTCAAATTGAGTTAGTTTTTCTTCTTTCCAATCTGTATGCCTTTTATTTCTTTTTCTTACCTAATTGCCCTGGCTAGAACTTCCAGTACAGTACTGATTAGAAGTGGTGAGTGCATGTCCTTGTCTTGTTTTTGATCTTATAGGGAAAAGCATTAGTCTTTCACCATTAAGTATGATGTTAGCTGCAGGTTTTTCTTAGGTGCACTTGTTTGGGTTGAGGAAGTTCCCTTGTATTCCTATTTTGTTGAGTGTTTTTATCCTAAAAAAACTGTTGGATTTAGTCAAAAGCTTTTTCTGAATCTATTAAGATGATTGTAGTTTGTGTAGTTTATATAGTTTGTATTTTTATTGTATTGGCATTATATATTATGTTAATTGATTTTTGGATATCAGACCACCCTTGTATCCCTTTATTCTACTTGGTCATAATATATATATTTATATGTTTAGATTGCTTTTATATCTTTATTCATAAGAGATACTGGTCTATAGTTTTTTGTGTGATATCTTTCGTTTTGGTATCAGGGTAATATAGGCCTTAAAGAATGAGTTAGGAAGTTTTTCTTCTTCTTTGGATTTTTTGGAAGAGTTTGTCAAGTACTAGTATTAATTTTCTAAGTGGTAGGTAGAATTTACCTGTGAAGCCACCTGGGCTTGGGCTTTTCTTTGTAAGTAACTTATTTATTACTAATTCAATCTCTAATTGTTGTAGTGTATTCAGATTTTTCAGTTTTTTTGAGTCCGTTTTAGTAGTTTGTGTCTTTCTAGAAATTTGCTCATTTTGTCCAAGTTACCTAATTTATTGGCATCTAGTTGTTCACAGTATTCCTTTATAGTCCTTTTTATTTCTGTAAGGTAGGTAGTGTTGTCCCCTCTTTAATATTTGCTTCTAGTAATTCGAGTCAAGTAAGTCAGACTCCTGAGTAGCTGGGACTACGTATGTGTGCAGCCACAAACGGCTTCTCTTTCAGAGTGCAGGCATGGCTGGGTGAGGTGGTGTTCACCCGGAGTCAGAGACAAAAGGAGTACTTGAGGCCAACCTGGGCAACATAGTGAGATCTTGTCTCCAAAAAAAAAAAAATAAAATAAATGTAGGTAGTTATAGCTATATTCTTTTCTCTGAGTATTGCTTTTCCTGCATTCCACAAATTTTGTTGTTTAATTATATATTATTTTTGAATTTTCCAGATTCTTTCTGTTCCTGATTTCTAGTCTTATTCCATTT